CCAACAATGCACTTAGGCATTGGGGAGGCTTTGAGTTTAGCTGCTTGAGCAAGCAAGGTGGCCGCACCACAATGAGACAGGTGAGAGCAGACCACCAGTATATATACTGTGGCGTCGAGTTTAGATATGTACCTCGAGAGTTATGGGTCACCAATTCAGCTACACCCTGTTCCCGTCTCCACGTGATTCTCAGGGCCTCCCACCACCACTCACCAAATGTATATAATATTAGCGAAATGAATCTTCTGCGAAAACATAGAACCATGCGCCTCCATATGCTATGTCTTTTCTGCATGTGGTGAGTAGTTGAGCAGGCCCAATTGCACGTATTTGAAAGAAAAAAAAGAATAAAAACGAGAGAGCTACGGGCATCCTCCCTCCACCACTCAGCAAATGTATATAATATTAGTCTAGGTAGCATGGGTTATCTGGCCGGATAATCTGGTGGGATTATCTGGCTGGATGATCGGGGGTTAGGATCATCCGGAAATCCGAATGATTAAAAAAAATGCCTAAAAAAAGCAAAAAAAAAAACAAAAAAAAACGGGATATTGCGCATCCAAAATACAATAGAACTACGTTCCTACTTCATGAAAAACTTGATAGGGCCTGGAAGGGTTCAAAGGGGATAAGATAGGGAATAAAGGGGTTTAGAGGGGGGATGCTTAATTCATTCTATAATTTTTTTACCTAAATATTGTTTTCTTGTTCTGTTTTATTTTTTATCTCCAAATCTGTTGAGTAATCAAAGATGTTCATATGATTGATATGAACAACACTTTTTTTTTCTTCAGATTTTTAATTTTTTTTGAACTTTTTTTTTTTCGGTAAAAAAAAAATATTTTGCGGAGGGCCGGATTTGCCATATCCGGAATTAATCCGGAAATTTCATCGGGATTGAAATTTTCGGATGAAATTGGTCTGTCGGATATCCGGATTTGCTACTTAGATATTAGTAGAATGAATCTTCTGCTAAAAAATAGGACCATACATCGCCATATGCTATTTCTTTTGTGCATGTGGTGAGCAGTGGAGCAGGCCCCACTGCACGTATTCATAAGAAAACAAAAACAAAAAACCGAGATAGCTACTGGCATCTTCATCGTAACCCATAACTGCAGACATGCAGACCTGAACGCCAATCTTTAGCATATATTGGTGGTCGGATAGCCGTGGAAATGTAAGTTGTGACTTTTGCGAAGTTTGTGGGGCAGGTCGTTAGTAGGCGGCTACCCCCTTCTTGCGAACTTACCCCAGCATTGTGTGGGATTGGCAGAAGAAAGGGGGAAGACCAGTTTCCATACCCCACCAAAAAAGGAATTTGGAGTGAGCCCTATTTTATGCTTCACCATTTTGAAACTTTTAGGGGCAGGGCCTGCCGCAATTGAAATTCGGCAGCCCTGGCAAAAAAAAATTCCACCCTACGGTCCCCACCCCATCCCACCCCACCCCACCCCACCCCACCCCAAACTCCACCGCACCTAAAATCCCAACCCAACAACGCCCTTGACCCCACCCCCCCCAAAAAAAAATCACCCTGACCACCTTTTTTTTTTTATGTGCACAAATGGCCTCACGCCGTCCCCTGCCCTCGCGCAACCCCATGGCGTGCGCTCGCTCTTTTTTTGATGAGCGTGCGCGCCCGAAACGGCTTTCAACGAAAAAATTTCTCATAATTAAATAATCATTCTATAGTAAAATTATAATCTTAATTTCAAATTGTCATTCCATTTTAAAAAATGTCATTCCAAATTTAAAATTTTTCATCTTACTTGCAAACTTTCATTCCAAGAATAGGGTATCCCTTCTTATTTGGACTTCGTGCTAGAGATGGAATGAAAGTGTGGATGTGTTCATGAAATATTTTAATTACACTGTCATTCTAAATAAGGATTTTCAGTCATAAATAGGTTAATCCGATCTAAATTAAATAATATTTATTGTAGTAGAATGAAAAATTTATTAAAACATTTCATAAACTCATCCAGACTTTCACTCCATCTTGAACAAATAGATGTAAGCTCATATTTAGACGGGAACTCATCAAATAAAACTGGAAATTTTAGAATTGGATGAACATTGGAATGATAATTTATAAATATGAAGGATTTTTTTTTTATGGAATGTTTTTTCAACTTTCATTTCTCGTGGGAATTTTTCTGTTGTTGAGCGCGTTTGAGTGCGGCAGGGGGGTCTTTAAGTGTGCGCTTAAGCGCGCTTGCTCGCGCTGATGCTCGCTCACACGGTTTCATAGTCTCTCTCTCTCTCTCTCTCTCCCTCTCTCTCTCTCTCTCTCTCGGAGTCAATCAATCCGG